GCTGCGGTGTATTAAATTCTTAAACGGTCGGTTGGCAATCGGTTTTTTCTTTAACGTTTCTCCTTTGGCGAGCAATCGCCGCGAAAGAATACCGTTTCGTTGCGTGTTTCTGTTTCCAAGCTGCTCGAGGACGTTTCCCGACTTGTGCACGATATTCTCTCGCTCGACGACCGAATATCTTCCCCTCTACGTACTACGATCGTTCGTAACTTTGAACTTTCCGCCGCGAGCATCGGTGGAAATATTTTTTCTCGATTGCACAGAGATTTTATACATTGAAAAGGAATTGTCAGAGTTGTTGCAATTGGATCGTTTCCTTTCATAATTTTAGTTCCTTTTATTTCCCCTGGAAATGTTAACGCTTTTATTAAGTTAAAATATCTCTTAAATTAATAGCTTTTTATCGTAAATACTTTTTTGTTGGGAATTGTATTTGTTATAATAAAGTTGTTGAAACTGTATTTATAGATTAATATTTATTGACTTTACGTTTCGTAAATTTTGTTATACAGGGTGTTCGGTTACCCCTTGGAAAAATAAGACGAAAATCAAGAATATCAATTTCTCGACTGAGGCTTCATTAAAAAGTTATTCAAAAATTTCAAACCATTCTGAAAAAATTATTTTTGGTTGCAGAGCTCAATTACAATTATTTTTTCTCATTACACATACTCTCGAAATCCTACCCACTTTCGAGAAAAAAATTCGAGAATAAAATTTTTCGACAATATTAAAAAATGTCAAATCGTTCTGGAAAAATTATTTTCGGTTGCGGGGGTCAATCACAATAATTTTTGGTGAATAGACCTACCCCCGAAATCCTACCAACTTTCTAAAAAAAAATTCAGTACGGGCGGAACTTTAAATGTCAATAACTCTTTAACGAAGCCTCCATCAACAAATTAGTATTCTTGATTTTCGTCTTATTTTGGCCTCTAGAATCTCCCATTAAAATTTTACAGTCGTAAACAAAAATTCGATCGAGTCAATTTGTCAGTTTAGGCAATAGCTTTGAATATAGATAGTTCAGTGGGCAGAATTGGTGAAACACACTGTACACAACATCCAACGAGATTACTTCGAGTATCGAAGGCAGTAGGAGGTACCGAACTATGCGATTATGTCGGGACGAGTGGGTCCTTTGTCTTTGACCGTCCTGAGGACGCGACCGATTAACTCTGTATCTATGGATTATTAGAGACAGCGTTAATTGCACGGTTAACGTCGCGCGTGCTCGAGATACCGCGGTAACATAATCGTGGGAATTCGTCGTCGAGTCCCCGCCTACGCGGAATTAACAATGAACTCGAGAACCGCTCCTTTCGCGGCACGTTCGAAACAATTCCGGCCCTCAAAGGACGAAAAGGGTTGTTCGCTGGCCACATTCCACGAAGGAAAGCCGTAGGAATAGTTCGCGTGCTCCGTTTCCGGAACGGAAAACGAGAAACAAGGACGATCATATTCAGGGCAAATGGACGCAATTCTATTTTTCACCATTGTTTAGTTACGATTTACAATATATTATATAAAAAAGAAATCTACATCGTTTGGTGCAGATCACGTGCAAATTTCAAGTTACTTTTAATGTTTACTAAATTATTTTGGTGTACGTTGCAATCCAAACATTTTCTCGTTATTTGCATTTAAGACTCGTTCCACGGCAAAACAAATGCAATTTCCCATTGAACGATTATATTCTGGTTCGCAGTAATCGTGCAATCCCACCGTCGTTTCCCCACTAATCAAGATTAGTTTGCTGGGTTCGACGAGGAAGTCTAACTCGATATCGACGAGGAAGCGACAGAGAAATTGAATTCTCCACGCAGGAACTGTCGCTCCGGAACTGTCGTCGAGCAACAGGTTTCCGGGAGCACCTTTTTAACCGTTTTCACGACCACTTTCAAGTTCGCGGAACCCTTTCTCGTGATTATCTTCCGCCTCCCGGCTCGTTACAGTTACCCTCGTGTAATAATAATAATAAACTGAAGACTCGACCGAGGAAGGAAAGAAAGAACATTTTCTTTTCACATTTAGATATCACTCATCAGGTCCTATTCTATTTAATATATTATTTCCATATTATGCATGTATCTAAATAAGTGTAAAACCTGAATACGATCAATAACTTCCATTTTTGTGTTAATGTAGAGACGTTCAATTTATTTGTCCTTATTATATTATATTATTAATATTATATTATTTTATTATATATCCTTATATTATTAATCCTCAAAAAACTACAGAATGCATTTAATATGCAAAAATATAAGAAATACTTAAAGTAAGATACGAATTATTATATTTAGGGGCTGAGACAGCCCTCTGCGAAGCTTCCGTTTCGTTAATTCTATTAATAAAAATGTGAATTTGCATAAAGATCCGCAGTCTAATTATAAAATATCTCTTTACATAAATAGACTTCAATAAAATCTACGATTCTATTAATAAAAAAAAAGCATCACGTACAAAATCCCCCACGAAATATTCCAAGCAAACTTTATGCTCGAATTTCCTTTATCTCCCAATATTTAGAATCTGCACCCCACAGCCATCCGTAAATTTGCAAGTCGGAGTAGAGCCCGCGTGGAAAATTGAGCCGGTATTGGAGAGCACGATTCGTCCATCTTAAAATTCCTCGACGGTTCCCATATATATGTATATACATATACATCGCGTCGCGGTTGGTCAACAGACGTCGAGCGGGACACGAAACTTTTTTTATGGGATCTCCCCCGATGTAAATACGGCCAGAAGGGTCGAGAACTGACTTTAGAGGCCTCAGTGTTAAAAAAAAAAAAAGGAAAAAATATGTCCCCCAACATGGGAGGCACGCTAGCGCGACAAAACTGTTTCCCCATTCATGCCGATGCGCGTGGCGGCAATACAAATTGCTGGGAGTCCCGGGCAAGGGCTTTTCCCAACCCTGGGAAAACTGTCTCGACGTGAGAAAAGGTCTTCCTTTCGTTCGGAAGAAATTTCCCCGGGGGCGGTAGTTTTCGTCGCGCTTCGTCGTTTCGAAACGTACGTACACGCTCGACAACATGCAGATTTCGTTGAAAACGCTGGCAGTCGTGAAAAAGTTGCCTTTTGTCTCCGTTCTTCGAACGAATCCTTGAAACAATATTTTTCAACAGTTTTTTCTCTCCACTCTTGACCGCCATCTTTGTCGTGTCGGGTTCTCAGGAAGCAGCGATGAATGTGAGATCGTCCAGATTAGCACTCACTCTTTTCTTACGTCGCTCACCAGCCTAGCAAGAGGTCTGAGTGGGGGGGGGGGCCTCTGGCGTCTACTACTCCTACTTATCCTAACAATCTTTATTCATCTGTTTGGTCTAACTTGAATTGTATCAATTATTTATTATCGTATCGACAAATTTCTTGGTATACACTTCTTCTATTTTTTCGTAATTCTATGACACGTTATCTTTCGTTCGAACGAACAATCGTCTCTTTATTTCGTTTCTGTGGAGGGTTCTATCGACACCAACTTGATCAATTCGCCCCACCGTGGACGTTCGAAGTTCGTATTTGACCAGCACGCCCACGTTCATATGTTTAAAAAGGCGAACAGTGGATTGTTTCGCTGCGACCCTGGCAATCGGCTAATTAATCGCGCGGCAAATTAATTTGAAAACGGATAAAAGCTACGGCGGCTTTACGGTCGCGGAGCAGTTTTAAACCGCAAATAGCTGGACAAAGCGAACCGTCATCGATCTCGCGTTCTGCGTAGGTGATGTATCGCGGGTATTATTGGAAACAGAAACGCAAAATAAAACGCAGAACATAATGGACTGACGAGGACTTGCAGGAGTACGAAAGCTCTGGACGTGTTTTTGAATTGTGTTTTTATTTTTTCACTGTCAAAGTCCGGCGAGTGATGTGTAATTGCGCGAAAAAAATTCTAAACTAGTTTTGAAAATAAATTCCACGCATCGAATGGTATATAGGCGTGTGAAGCTATTGTATATTTTATGGAACATTATACGTATTGTGAATCGAAGTATTTTTTATAATTGCCAACGTTACATAAAAATAAGAATCCAACGGTTGGATTAAACGTTGGGCATGTAAAGTTTACAACAAACCCGTTGCAAAGGGTTGCATAGCACTTGCTCGAAGAACAAATGCGCCTCGTTACCGTCTTTCGCTGCTCCCATTTTCTTTTTTCACGATAAAAGATGGTGAACGCCCGTCTTGAACTCGTTTTGACCGAGGTAAGAAGCCGTAGACACAAAATGGACGCGTCTTAACAAAAAAAGTCGCGCGTTTGGCCGATAAGCAATTTTATTCGAATAATTTATTTGAACAATTAATATTCGAAATTTTTAGCGTTCGGGCGTAATGAAAATTTATTCGAAATCTTCACCCGGGAAATTGCGATTATAACGGTTAATTGTCAATTGTTATGTACAATTGACAAATGAATTAGTGGCCATTCGCTCGCGTCGGTCGGCGATTGAAATAATCGATTATTGTCACGGGCAATCGGCGATTGTCAAATAAATTAATGGTTAATCGTTCGAGACGTTTGTCAACTAAAACAACCGTTATACCCCAATGTCCATAGTATAATGAATTAACGATCATTTTTTCGATGGCTAATCACGTAAAATGTCGTGTACTATAATATGTGCAGGTTTTAAATATTCAATTGAAATTTGATAAAAATAGTCTCCATGACAAAAATTTAATATAGAACAGTGAAAAGTTGAAAGAAAATGGGGATTTGGAATGTATCGGTGCTGCTGAATCATTTGTGGCCGATCAGTTATGCATCTGTTCTACTTGGAAGATTCAGCCCGGGCAATGGTCTATTTATACTACTTAAAAGATTCGGTCTGATACGTCTCTGATTCGACGCTCAGTTTTTAAGGAACTTTTCCACATTTATAGAACTTGATTTATGGTCTTTTTGCAAAAAAAATGTACGAAGAAAGCTTATCGTTTGGATCGAATTTGTAGATAATTTAAGGGGTTTTAAAGGGGGTTATGTTACTTACGTCTACCTCATTCAAAAGTCTTTCCTTGTCGGCGGTCGGAAGAGCTACGGACCAGTCGATCAGGATCATCAGCGCCATGGCTAAGAATACAGCTACTCGGAGCGTCGACATGATACTTTTGTCCTGCAACAGAAATCGATATAGCAATACATAATATATTAATTTGCATTTATAGATTAAAATCGAACACCCTGTACATATGGCAACTGCTATCCTTTTATTCTTCTATCCAACTTCCATTTATTTATGTTTTATTTATATTCGATAACTTTATAATACAGTTCGAATGTTATCGAAACTCTAACCCAGACCTAACCCTATTTCGATAAACAAAAGAATAGTCTCCAAAAACATCAGGAACATTTTCAATAGTCACACGGTGTCGACTATAATAGCAACCATAAATATTCTTTCTGCAAAATCCCCCAGGCCCAGTGAATCGAAAAGCGCTCGGTTTCCCTTCGAAAATCAAGCTTCCTCGATCGTAACATTTCCAAACGACGCGAATCTGTTCCGATTTGGACCCGTTCAGCGCCGTAATAGCGTGAAAATAACGAGTGCCGCGTTATCTCCTCGCGCGAGTGCCATAATGGCAGCTCCTTTTCCCGATTATGCGTCAAGATTGCGTTTCCACGTTACGTGGGTCGTCGTTAATGGACGAGATTTAGGACCACGATTAGAAATCGTCTTAAATTTCGCGCGTTAAGATGCCAGGTGCGTGCAAGGTTCGGTGTAAATATTTCAAAATATTTAAAATAACAATGATTCTGAAAATGTCACTCTCTGTCTGTTCGCTCTCACTCGCTAACCGTTTATTCGACCGTCGTTCGTTTTTTCTCATTCGCTCTCGTTCGTTCACTGTCCTCCAAATTCCTTCGATTGATCGCGAAAGATAAAGGCGACTCCGAGATTCAACAACACAGCTGCGTATAAGAAACATCTGTTGGTGTCGAATTTCGCTTCCAACGTACCATAGAGAGATAACCTGATCGACAGACACAACAAACCGAACAGTGCAAGGACAAGGGGGGTAGTTCGCTCGCGCCACCACCAGAAAACCCCACGTCTTATGTCGCGTTGCATAGTAGTAGGATCTCCATATCCGCACGAGATACATTTTTATTCTGTCCATGGTTAATACTCTGTGTTTAGGGCTACGTCAATATCCTCTACTATAGTTCTATCCTACTCTGTCTCGATACGTTTCGTTCGCGTCTCTCGTCACGCGATGGAATTGTAGTTGCAATCAACTCAGCCAATAATAACAACGCGTGCGAAGATAGGCGTCGCTATTACAACCAATCAGCGTGTCTGGCTGTCGACTCACCTCTCTATGGTACACACGCGAAACGAACATTCTAACCTCGGAGCGATTTTTATTTTAAGAATCATCGCTGTAATACCTGAGAAATTCCATGCACCAACGCAAGCCAGGCATTTTCATTATTTAGGTTAAAACCATCGCCGAGGAAATAGATTAAATAATCTTCCGATACTCCCTAGATTAAGTCGTAAGTTCATCGTTGGACGATTCTCCACGCTCGTTTCACGAACGACCGCTTTACGCGATCACGGGGCAACCCGTGCCCGGAACCCCGAGCGCTATCTGTTCCACGTCGCGGTCCCTTGGGAACGATCATTGAATTACATGACGCGGCACTTTTTCTTAATTATGGTCCTTGGGGCAGCTACCGGGCGTTCCTGCCGGCCGACGATAATTTAACGAGAACGAATGAAGTCGTAAAGCCGCTCGTTATCTCTGTAATTCTTTCACGGCGCGGGCCGACGAAACAGAACTCAAAGGCTCCTTCGAAGCTCTGCTCGCAGCTTTATCTCGCTGATCTGCGTTTATGCATCTCGAAGCGTTCGATATTAAACCTCGTATCGGATTCGTAGACGTCGAGGAAATTGGAATTTAATAAAATAAAAGAATGAAAATAAATCTGTAGTGTTCCACTTTTATTGTTTTTTTTCTTTTTCAATATCTTCGTTAATAGTATATCTTGGGGTATAACGATGCTCTACGATACTGATAGAGAGTTAATAAATTTATTTAGGTACAATGTTGGTTGGACCGGCTAGATAGATCGTTGCTTACCGATACTTAGGTTTTTGATAAATTTGAAAATTGTATTAAGCGTACGACTAAAGCAACGTTGCCTGAATGAACGCTGATGAACAGGAGCGGTCTTTTAAAGCTCGTTCGAACGAAGCGACTCGGAATAATATGCAACATAATTTCGCTAATGAAACTCGTAACGAACCCGACCGCAGTTTCCACGCGGATTATTCCGCGTGTCAAAGTTTTGACAGACATTCAGCGACCGAACAGATCTTTCGTACAGTTGGACCTAAAACACTAACCTAACGGACTAAAATTTTTGAACTCCGGCGTTTAAAATTTATATATAAAATCGTTAATAAAAAGTAAATCTGTGATAACAAACAAAAAAAAAAAATAGCAAAAATGTCAAAGTCAAGAGCGAAGACTACGTTTTTTGCTTTTTCGATCGGGAAAGGAATCGTCCGTAAAAAAACGTCAGCCATTTAACGAGACTGCCAATCGACGATTTCGACTTCAGGTTTCGATAACTCGATATGAAATTACTACGTCGTGAATTTTGCAACGTGACAATGATCTCGCCCACTCGACTATTCTGACGTAAGAGTTTTTAATTTCAAGATCGATCGGATTTAACTAATCCCCCCCTCCTTGCGTCTATGCATCCGATATGCCACCCCGTGACCTTTTTCTATTTTCTTGAACGAAAGAAGCTATGAAAGGATCGCGATTTCAGTTAGTTTCCGGAATTCCAAGCAACGCGTCATGGTTATTAAACCGGATACCACGACAGCGAGGTCCAGAATGCTACATAGGATGTGACACTGGAATTCATGTTTACAATCCAGAAGGGGGAAGATTACTATGTAGACAATGCATCTAATTTTCGAATTAACATTTTACACCGAATTATTCTCGAAATTGACCCATTAAACCATATAAATATACGTATGCATGTAGAACGAATCACATAGCCTGAACAACTCCTGAAGTTTGCATTTTACACGAAAGTGTTTTATATGGAAATTCTAAAGTCCTCGGTTCCCCATTGACTACCTAAACATCAATTTTTTTATTTTTATTCAACCCCTTTATTACGTACACGATATATGTAAATTATTCACAAAGGCATAATGAAATTGCAGAAAATATAGTGCGACTGGAAGTTTAGAACCTAACCTCGAAAGATTAGGCTGGTTCAGCTCGAAGAGACTAGCTTTCAAAACTTAACCTCAAAGGTATCGTATGGAACGAGACAAATTCGGATGGAAGAAAAGAAAAATTGGTGACCAATGAATAAAAAATCTGGATTGGAAGAGCACGTATCTTCAGCGACGTAGTATTGCAATTGTGATGGTGAGAAGATAAATGGTAGCACGAAGCGTGGAATTTAATTAGACGATGATAGGAAGTAGAAAGAGATGATCATGGACGAGAGAAATAGATATTAGTAAGATTATTGAAAAGCAATTATTCAATATGTAATTCATTTATGATAGTTTGGACGCAAATTGTTCGTAATCGTGTTATTTATCGTTGGAATTGGAATCGCTGAAACATCAGAAAGTGATATATGAATACAAGAAAACGAGAAGAAAAACATTGCCTGCCATTTAATTACTTTACCCAGGAACAAATGATATTCTTCGTAATTGGTTCATTCCGGGAAAAATTAAAATCGACCAACGAAACGAACGTCGGCCATGATTTATTATCGTGCATTCTGATTAATTAAATGACATTATAATTCCTTCGTAACCTTTTACGAAGTGGTTAAAACACACACCCTTTATACATGGTAATTCAAATTTGATCTTTTATTCAAACCTTAGACCTCTTTATATTTCATACATGTTTGATTTAATTTACATATTATGTGCAAAATCATTAATCCTTTTCGCTGGCCACGCAAGATTAATTCTCTAAATTCTATACAAAATACTTTGACAAATGGTGTACGCGACAAGGTACAAACCATTTGTTCAAACAAGACTTTATACAGTGCCGCGAGAACCATTTTGCATTTCTAATGCAATCTGTCCGGTGACGAGTACTGGATTCTCTTTGATGCATTCGAGTATCTGCACTTCGACCCTAGGGATTTTAACGCGTCTATTTCGATCTCGGTTAATGGTACTAGGTGAAAAGAATCCAGGTTCCCCTAGCTGACGATGCACCGGAGAAAATGCACTTTTAGCAGAACATATTTTCTGAGGAAAAGTCTCCCGACAGAGACCGCCAAGCTTCCACAATGTCCTTACATAAATTTAACACTTTGACTGTCACGTGGCCATACAGCTGGTAAAAAGAAGACTAAACAAAAGCAAAATAAATGCTAAAGATATCGAAAAATGGTAAAATTTACAGAAATATAAATTTCTTAACGAAATTAACAGCGTGAAATTTCATTTATTATAGCTAACGATATAGTTTACATCTATTCTCTTTTACTATTGATATCTTTCATTACTAATGTACACAACGTATGTTAATTAATAAAATAGCATTAGAAGCGTGACATACTAACATTTTATTATTCGATTCGTTCGTTTCTATACAAGGAAATGAACGTGTCGATGAAAGCACACAAACAGTAACGGTGTACGCGGTAAAATACATAATGTCGACGAATATCGGTCTCGTTGAAATAATATGAACGAATACAATAGGTGGGAAACGTTTGCAAAAGATTTCAGCTTGTCGATAAATAAATAACCTCGACGAAAGTCTGCCGCCATTGAAATGATATCAATGAGTATATTGTACGACGAAATGTCTGTTGGTGACTTCAATGAAAATTGTTCAAACGTGTCCTTCGAAATTCATAAGAATAACAAAATATTATTATCAAATATTAAATGTCTCGCCCGGAGTAAAGCAACTAGACATACAATACTGCCAACTGTTGACAGAAGAATCTACGTCGTGACTAATTAAGCGCGCCAAATTTGAAATCGAGTTGACTGAAAATTATGTATATCCGCCGTAAGTTTACTAAAACTTTGTAATAAACGATCACTAGACACGAAAAACAATAATTTATGTCCCCAGTATTTTAGAAACGAGCAAACGTATAAATAACACTGAAACGAAAACTGTGATCGATCGCGACGATATTTCGATAAGTGTCGAAATAGAGTAGTTACGACGTCAGCGGTGGGCTTTATTTATTTGGTCCTGACACTTTTGGGTGGGTGGTGGGGCGACAATTTCGTCGGTCGAATCGACAGTGCGATTCTGCTTCATGAACACGGACAGCCACTTTCCGACTGTCATTGACAGAACGATAACTCACTCGAGAAAATCCCGCTGGGCGATACTGCGATTGATTAAATATTGGAAGACGATCGAAAATAACCGAATCGTCTCCCGCGGATTTAACCAAGCTTGAGAATGTGATACCCTGGCTGTTAAGTCACATTCGATAGTTCAGACGCTTCGTTTTACTTCGAGTTTAATAGTAAAATTCAATGAGTTTGCGTATATCGTTAAATATTGCTACTGTTAATCATCATTATTCTGGGAAGATACAGTTACACGTCGATAATTATTAAATCACTAATAATATTTTATTACGGTCTATAATTATACGGAGAGTTATATTTTCTGTCGATTAATTTCAAATTTGGCGCGCTTCACTGGTCGATTCGTTTTACACTTTCCGTCAAGAGTAAACGAATCGACTGTTATTAAACCCATCCTAATCTTTTCATCGTTAAATCAATGATAATAACCGTTTAATAAAATGTGTTAAGAACATGAACGATATATTTCCTGTCAATTTAACGTCAAGCGTACCGTAAACCGTTTGCGAGGCTATAACTTTAACCGTTATGAAATTGCGCGATTGTTTCCATGTCGGGATTGTTTGTTTTCGAGAACGTCGAGTAATTGCACGCCACGGCAACAGGTCCTGGACTACTTCAATGGGCGCGAATCGACGAGAAACTTTCACGGGAATGAAATTGTGTCGTTGGACTCCGGTCGGGGAGAATTACGTAAACAGACGAAACATTTAACGCGGGGGCGAGACACGACGTGGGACTAACCTAAACCCATGTAAGTACGACTGCAAATGGTTCCCGTTCAAATTTCAATATCGTGTATTTGAGTTACGGAACGAGCGGCGAGTTAAATCGTCCAGGGACGAATGTCATTGCAAACTAGTTACGTAACGTGGATTGTGAAGTTCGAACGATTTTTTTTTAAATCGAAATCCATCTGCAACATCGAATGTACAAACACTGGCAAAATCAATTTATTGAAACGTATTAACAGCCAATTTGCAACAAAAAAAAAACATTTTAAAATAAGTGTAGCGTTATAGTTTTTTGTTAAATGAAAAGAAATAGATGGCACCACTGCAGCCAATCCCGTACGGCTTAGCGAAAATTTGTTTAATTAAATTCCACCCACTACGTCGATGATAGTCTTTAAATTCTACAAAAACGAATATTAATCGATAAAAGAGACCCGTGAATGATATTTTTCAATGCCCCATACATGTATCAAGTGTCAAAGGTCGGAAAACATCAATGGGATGATGGTCTTTATGAGCAAAATTACTCGAGGTTATTCATATTTCCTTTACTCGTGATACAGATTGAAGGAAGAGAGATTGAGTTTCTCCACTTCAAAGGAAATACCACTCATAAGGGATCAGTCGTTTTAATCACCCTTCCTAAGACCAACGAATAAAGAAAAACCACTCGATACTGACCAATAAAAGACCAACGTCGCAAATAGGTCACAGCGATGATTTTATATACAGGGTGTTCGGGAAAAATTTTAATGAGGGATTCTAGAGGCCAAAATAAGACGAAAATCAAGAATACCAATTTGTTGATGGAGGCTTCGTTAAAAAGTTATTAACAATTAAATTTAAAAATCTTAAATCGTTCTGTAAAAATTATTTTCGGTTGCGGGAGTCAATTACAATCATTTATGGTGAATATACATACCTTCGAAATCCTACCTACTTTCGAGAAAAAAAATCGGGTAGGTGCAGCAATTTTTCGACAAAAAAGAATTTTTCAAATCGTCCTGGAAAAATTATTTTCGTTTGCGGGGATCAATTACAATCATTTTTGGTGAGTAGACATACCCCCGAAATCCTACCCACTTTCTAGAAAAAAATTCGAGAAGGTGTGAAATTTTTCGACGGAAAAAAAAAAATTTCAAATCGTTCTGGAAAAATTATTTTCGATTGCGGGGGTCAATTACAATCATTTTTTATGAATAGATATACCCCCGAAATTCTGCGCATTTTCGAGAAAAAAATTCATTACGGGCGAAACTTTAAATATTAATAACTTTTTAACGAAGCCTCCATCAACAAATGGGTATTCTTGATTTTCGTCTTATTTTGGCCTCTAGAATCCCCTATTAACATTTTTCCCAGGGTTGATCAAACACCCTGAATAAAAAAAAAAATTCTAGTTCTATTTCTGATAAAAAATTTACAATTACTTTTTGACGTTCGATCATCGAATGATGTAGTTTATTTTTATTTTCCGTGAGTAATTAAACAACTATCAAACTTTATGTAATTGATAGGTATCGATACGATTGGTCGCGTATCTCAAGAAAAACTTATTCGAAAATTTTTCTTGCAGAGGACACAAATCTAACGATCATTCGTAAAGCTATCTGTAGAATTTTTAATAATTATCACAATTAATTATCTTTACACATCTGTTTGTATGATAATAACATAAAACTTTTTAACCAATTCTATTTTATTTCATTCGCTGTTCGTGTACGTTTAATAATTTTAAAACCTAATATCATTATTAAAACCTTTTTATTATTGAAATTAATATTTTTGTTAATTCCAGGATAGTAATAATTTTATTCATCAAAGTATGAAAGATAATATAACCTGTCGTTATTTTGACGTTGTTATTAACGACGAAACTCGATGTGTGATATTACGATTAATCGTTGTCTCTGTGCCACCTGTTACAACGGTTTGATACAAAAATATCAATTTCAAACGCACATGTATCGAAAGTATCGAAACGTGTCTCGATCCCGTCTCTAGTGATAGCGAACATGTTAAACCTTTCATTTCTACTATAGCCATTTGACTGCGCACATATTTAAAATTATCGAATGAAATATTACCGTCAACTGTATTCCCAAAATCAGAAAGCAAATTATCAGACGTACTTGAAATAAAAATGACAGGAAACAAATCTTTAAACAATTTTAAAATGTTAAATTATTTTCATAAATCGATTTAATATACAGGTTGCCTAGAATAAGCTACGAAGAGACACCATTTTCGACTAAACTTTAATTCCAACATTGTTTCGCCATGGAGAAATTAAAACTGTCGTGAATTATTTCACACGATCATCGATCACTTGATTGTCTCAAAGGTTTACAGTAAAATACCCCCCTAACGAAGTCACCGTGTTTAGAGCGATCTTTGATGCAAAATATTTGTTATAATTACAGACGAACATATTCGGTTATATTTGGAGACAACACAGACGAATTTTTAAACTATTGTCAAAAATAATTGCATATTCAAATATGAAACGTGCAATAACTTCAATAATAATAAAGATTATTGCGTGAAAATTGTACAGCGTTACTTTGAAAGAGTCACAAATTTTAAATTGCTCGCTCTATAATCGTCTAATAATTTTTCGCCTAAAATCGAAGCGCCCGGATGGGAATACTGAGAAACTATCGACGAAAACTTGTGTAAGAATCGAAGAAATGATGAGATAGAAATACCTCGTGGAGGGTTGACTTGCAGTGTCGTCGAGAAGTGATCGAGGGTTGGTCGGTGTCGTCCCGTCGGTTTTTCGTGAGCGCTGCGAGAACTGTGACTACCACGGGGCAGAATGACTGAGCTTGCAACCACGCGACCACTTTATATTAGATGGCGCTGGTGCTCGCGCCCCCTCCCACTCCCTTCGGCGCCACTCTTTCTACGAACACGCGTACATTTCGTTTTCGGGAGCGTCGTCCCGCGAGACTCTCCCCCCTCCCCGACCCCCTACACTGATTCGAGACGTAATTTACCCCTACGAGGAACGAGCGACTTTTACTTTTCGACCTGTAATCGCGGTCGAGGAAAATTTCGAAAAAATTCATTCCCACGCGTTGGGCGGCCGCTGTCGCGTGTACGTGACTTCATCTCGTAAACCATCCTACGAGAATTTCGTGGTATTTTTTTTATTCGAAAAATTGCAATTTGATTTTAGAATAGAATTATCAAGAATTCCCGTGTTTTAGGGTCGTTCCAGTTGCACATAATTTTGTGTAATTTGCGTATGGTAATCGTATCATCGGTAAACCTATTTTAGCCATTTGGAAATTGCCTTTCCTTCTGTATGCAAAACGCCTGTCCGCGTTTCCCTATTGCACTCGTGGATCATATATCTCCTCCATTTGATAAATCGTCGTTATTTAACACGAAACGGAGATAGATCTTCCGTTTCTGTTATCTCGTTTGCGAAACGCTGTCCAATCGACGGCATCTTTGCCTGTACAACTTAATCCCCACTAACTTCTCGTGTTCTGTCGTTGATTCACCCACCCACCGCACAGTTCCCAATTATGTTTGTCCGCTCCACTTCATCATACTTTCAAATTTCATATCTGTTTCTGCTACGAAATAAAATTTGCCAAAGTTACTCCTCCAAAAATTACAATTTTTATTTTAAAATAAAAAAAATACGCTTTCTTTGTACAATTTTTCCAAAAATAAAAACCATACAACTTTTTGAACGGAGGTTCTATGCCTATGAAAGTAATGACAGAGTTGGTACGACGAGTAACGAGTGTTCTGAGCTTTGTTATCCTGAGACTAAGTCGAATGGTCCAAGAATAGAAGAGCGCTCGAATCTCAACTGCAAATCACAGAGAAAGTCTACAAAGGAAAACTGAAATTTCAACAGTCAAACGAAATTTAAAAATGATACTTCGACGTCTTTCTAAAATATCATTGAAAAAATCAACACGTAGAAATTGAAACGAATCAATTTGCTAACAATTGCTATTATTATTATTTGAAATCCAGTGTATGAAAATTTTTGTAAACCGAAGCAACGGCGGTTTTTTACGACGACGCGGAAACATTGTTGTTACATTAAGAAACGCGGTATTCGGACTTGTACAATTGTCGACCTTTTCGGTTCCACCAGGAATTCGCCATTTCGCGGAATTACGTTAGTACAGGAAAAACAACAGCGAAAAGTGGTCCCAGAACTCTCCAAGGTACGGATAAAATCGATGGAGAGGGTTTGATTTAATTTAATTTATTCAGACGGGACCGTGGACTTTGAAACAGCAAGAAACACTTTGAAAGAACGCGGAAGGGAAAAACAATGGATGCACACATACAAGAAAACACGAAAGGAAGAGGAACCGTTACTTTTACAATTATTTTAACAGTTCTTTCATTCGATGCAAATGTGTGAAAAAATACATTTTGTAATAACAATTTGTAAAATAAGCTTCTACGAGAAACTCTGAGAAAATCTAAATTCCATCTGGGGTCCATGTTGAAACTCGAAAATTAGGATACATCTTGGAGGCTGGTGGTCGGAGGAGTAGGGTTACCAAAGGTAACGGAACGCCTAACTGTCCGCTGATTAACCGTAAGTCGTTAGAGTGCCTTGTTAATTGCAGTAATAAACTTTGGATACAAAAAAATAATTCGATAACTTTGACGTATAAATATAATCTTGTATTTGATTTAACTAAAAGCTGAGAAAGCGCCACGAAACAATATTCAAAATATGAGCCGTTTATTTTGAAAATGGCCTAAATACATCTTGATACGCATATTATTCACTTAATAATTGCCACTATTTTAATAGGAACTATAAATTTAACACCCTTAGATACACTTAAGCAGTATGACTCATTAGTAGACTGCGGATCTTTATGCAAATTCACATTTTTATTAAAAGAATTAATGAAACGGAAGCTTCGCAGAGGGCTGTCTCAACCCCTAAATATAATAATTCGTATCTTACTTTAAGTATTTCTTATATTTTTGCATATTAAATACATTCTGTAGTTTTTTGAGGATTAAAATTTCCCATAAATGCATAAACATCCGCAGTCTACTCATTAGTATCCTATACGTATATTTTTAAATTCATTGAAACGCAAACCCTTAAATATCTCGATTTGAACATAAATGGACTTAGGCCACTTTCAAAATAAACGGCTCATACAATAATTGAAGAGAGTCCATAATATGCAGAATTACCAAACTTTTGACGCCGTTATCCGCTTTTCAGCGTTCCGACGCGGGCGTCGAGGTTACGCCATTTCTCCGCGAGCGAAAATTTTCACCTCGCAGAACTATAATTCCAGGGGGGTGGAGGCGCTCGGAAAATATTCGTTCTCACCGGGCGTTCGTTTTCTTTCAATTGCGGGGAATTATAATTTCCTTGGGATGGAGGGATGAAATCAAATCAGGGGGGATAAAAATAATATTTTTAATAATATTTTCTGCGTGTGCCGCGAGCCCACCGTCCGCGTTCTCACGGTCGGACAGAATTGCGGGTACAATGCGACAGCTGGCGTAGAAATTCGCGGTACCGCGAGCCCAGGAATGTCTCATCCCCTAAAATATGCCAAACGGCAATTGTCCGCCGTTTCGCGTACCGCAGGCCTCGCTTCCGTCCCCGCGATCACGTTTATTGCGTCGTTCGCTCTTCTGTGCGGCGGTGGACCGTGTTCACAGCAAACACCGTGTTCCTTTCGAAATACAAGCCCGTTTCGCGACCTACAGCCAGCCCTAAACTGGAGAAAACCACCTTATTATATAAATATACTAGCATGCCCTGTCACGGCTTCGCCCGACCTTGTGCAAAAATAATTTATGACCAGACAATCATCCTGACATATATATCCGCGATAATGCAATTCTCTCGCGAGAAAGCGCTCGAGAAGCTTCGCCACCTGGCGGTAACATCGCAGTACTGCTTCGGGCGAGGTATCGCGCGGGCCGAATATGCGCATGAGCGCGCAAGTAGACTGTCGTATACAGGGGTCACGTGGTCTGCCAAACAGTCGTACACATGAAATCTTTGCATACAAATTACATGTTAATAACGCGCTTCTGAGACATGCTACATAGCCTATGTCCGTCCTAGAGTATGCAGGAATAACGTGTCAAAATTTGAGGAAGATATAATATAATAGTATAGATTTATAAATGTATAAAACCTAGTTAAACTCGCCACACAGTGTCCTTATTGCGTGGCATTTTTCTTGTACACCTGTGTGTTTTGTCGCAAACGTATGGTACTTGAGACACTTTGGAACAAACGATAGCTGTTCCGACTAGTTTTTACTATATCTCTCATTGCAGTACTGATGATATGTTTTTGCTGTTCCTCAATTTGTCTCCGGGAGAATGTGTGTTTTGTCTGACATTATTATTTTTCCAAGAACGCTTTCAAAACTGCATTCTAGCACTTATTTGTTGAAATCCAGTTATGTGTTTTTCCCCTCGGTCTTCTTGTAGAGCGCTTTGCTAGAGAGAGGAGTTACAAGCGAGACAGCAGGAAAGTAGGAAAGGGAAGGAGAGTCAGTCGGCTGCTTAGCAGGCTCTGCTTATATGCAAACGGAGGGGTCAGTCAATTGATTAATAATTATTTAATAAATAATAAGTATATTATATTAACTATATAAATCTATTAATTTAATATCTATAGTTATCTATAAATATCAGCTTGCGAGAAAGACAGGAACGTAGCCCTCTGGTGGCGAGTACGGGAGGTAACAAATTTTCTCTCATAAACAGAGAGCTATATTAATTCTTGTGGCAACCATTTCCAAGATCTCGAGGTCTTGCTGCGAATGTTTACTGTCACAGCATTTTGACCGCTTCCAAAATGAATGCAACGACGACAGCATGACCTTGAAATGATCTCAAGTACGAAATATTTACCTTTGGCTGTAATATCGCGGCAGTAAAAATATGTCGTTCCAGTTGAGAAACTATCGACAATCTTGATACGTCGAAAAATATGACGTATTATGTTCGAGGCGAAGATAATATTTATTTCGCACGATAGAATTATCGACGACCACAAGTTCTATAAAATCTATAGATACCGTAAATTCAACCGTATTACGCGACCCAATGACAACTTTAGGAAGTAATACATCATTCTTGACAGGCAAACTAATCTAATTTATAATTGCAATTGGATCAGATGGACAAATAGGATCCGACGGCAAATTACGACGTAGATTTATTATGCGAGATTAAACTGGACCATTCTACGTTCTGGCCTTAATTTAAGCTCATTTTAGGAGAAACTTAAAAAAAGAAATTTTTTTTTATATGTAATCCGTGATAATAATGGCCATACAATTATGCTTGTTATGCACGTCAGTGGAACTATCGAAAACGAGGAATTAAATTTGACAATTGAATTTGAAGATTTAGCGTCTGACCATTACTAGCTATTTCTACTTATTCTATCCAAACATCAGGTAGTCAGGAAAACTGATTTTCCTTGTAACGATCGTTAGGAACATTAACGAGCCAAAGATCGATTTCCAGAGACAGGTAATCGACTCGACAAAAATGAGCGATAAACAGCGACGCATTGGGAAGGGTAATCCCATCACCGATGTCATAAAACGCGATAACAATCGTCGTTAGATTTCCCAGCGTTACTTAAAGGCGCCCAACCAAGACACCCACCGGAAGTTCCCTTGGCGCTTAAATGCTCGATTTAACAAAAAAAAAAAATATTTCTCAATCGACGAAAATAAAAAGATCCAAGCTCAAAATAAAGATTGAAAACTATGTATACAGTGTGTTCCACCACCCTTAGGACAAATTTTAGTG